GTGATGTGTTGTCTATTATATTTTATCTTTCATTTTAATGATGTTTTTTTTTATACTGGATGGGAGTGGTTCTCAAAGAATTGTTATAGTAATTAAGTTTACTTTAGAGACCAGGCCCTCCCATCAAGATTATTTTATTGTGCAATAAAAGAATAAGAATAAGAAATAAGATATAAATAGTGATAATGTCATACATGATGAAAATGATGACAACACCTCGATAAGTAAGTAGGCCTACTACTACAACATAATCAAGGAAAATTGAGATAATGATACAAATCACAACAAGATTTATATTGTTATATAAAAGTAAACGAGAACAAAACTGTAACCAAAAATGCTTTTGGTTTTTATTTATTTACCTCTACATAAAACAAATTTCGGCAGAATTCCGCTAGTTTCAATGCAAATTTTTCAGAAGTTCCAGTTTCCGTTCCAAACAATATACTAACCCTATCTCGTTTGACAAGCGCCTTCATTGTCAGATATTGTGCACATATAATGAACCTGAAACACAAATACAGTAATTATATATGTTTTTAAATACTTGACACTGACGAAAGGCGAGTGCTTCCGAAAGCTCTGGTTCTATCTTTAGCGGTTAACTTACGTTTACCCTTTCTTTTTGCTTATACATGATTAAGATATGGCTAATAATGATGATGATAATAAAGATGATGATGGCCTCATAATTATAATCATAACAGGTCTCAAATTAAACCTGACAGGACATGATTTTACCTCACAACTAAATATAATATTCACACCCTTAGCCTCGAAATGAGACTTATTTACATAGCGTCATATTTTTCGTTTGTTTACACATCCCTTTACATTTTACTGCAAATTGATTAGACACACCATTGTTTTGGCGTACAGGGCAGTACTTGTACAAAAGGCGTGGCATTAAACGTGTTAGGTCCACTATACCAGCTGACCTTCTAGCATAGGTTGAAAGGGTCACCCTCTATAAATAACAAAAAATAAAACAACAACATACGTGACCAACTGCTTAAAAGTAAATCGTCTGCTGTTAACCTGTATTTGCATATTTGCATCTTGCCATTCATGCGATTCTGCAGCACTTACCTGAAAATGAATGTCAAGATAAATAGGCTGCTTATCTTCAATTCTGTCTGTGTATTAGCAAGATTACGAAAAAACTTACGAATGGATCATCATAAAATTGAGTGGAATGGTACATAATAATCGAAGAATGAGACCATTCAGGTTTCAGAGGAAAACATAGAAGGGCATAGTGAAGGTCACAGAAATTAGATTTTTTATCCTCGAGCATAAAAAAAATAATATCGCCCCTCGATAATAAATGAAATTGTCACTCAAATAATGGAATCGTCCACTCAAGAAAACAATGTGAATGAATACAACGGGCGATTCCATTAATAATATTAACTTTATTTGAAATGACGCTTTTAAAACAGCGGCACACGCTCTTGCGGTGCGTTCGTAAAAGTAACATACATACAATAAAATACGAATACAATAAAAAGCAAGACACTTAATACAATTAAAAACGTTACAAAACTGCACAAATATTGAGCATTTACACATTTCATCACCTAAAACTCCCATTATTTTCTTGAGGGTAAGCTGCAGCACTCCTGAAAATAACATGTCAGGATACGACGGACGAATCCATTGTCTCCTTGAGGATAAGCTGCAGTTTTGCCCATCATACACTGCCTTCGTATTGTTGGTACTGTATTCAGGCACTGGGTGGAGGTAGAGTGGCTTAGTTAATATTCTGTTTTGATTTATGTATTATTGTTTATATTCATGGATTGCAGTACTTTATTCTATATTTTACCCTAATAATATATATATATGCTATATAATAATATTTACGCTAATAATATATGCTATATGTATTGATATTGTACCTGGTAATCCAATGATGGGCTTAAGTGATAATTCACCATTTCCTGATGGAAAACCTTGGTGGCACTTCCCGATAAGGGTGGAACTATCCAAACCCAGTCAGCTGGGCACCCTCCTCTTATCTTTTGCTCCTGTTCAAAGTGTTTAATAAAGGAATCAGACGCCGTATGGTGGTTCCATATCGTAACACCAGCAGCCTGCGATAAATAGTAAACAATTAACAAATCCACAAAAATTATACGGCGCTCTACTACAAATTCTTTGTTACTTACTATCTTTATTAGCAACAAAAGAAATTAATAAAAAATAAAAGTTAACATGATTTTATTTAGATCTAGCTACTAATTCCTCTTATAATTTAATGATAATATAAATTTGTTGGATTAACGCTTTATACCAAAACGGTCTCAAAGCGCTCAAAGTGCGGCATGTACGTAGGCCACAGTAACTTGCTTCTCCCTTAATTCATGTCGGAACTACCCGGTAAACCGGTATCAGATACTCTCGTCTGTCAAGAACAGGGGCTGTATGGACTAGTACACCGGGGTGACCCCTACTTGTCTCAGAAGATGTACTGGGCTCTTGAAAGTACACGAGTCAGATTGTGTACACTTGGCCTTTGATAAGTCCTTATCAAAGAAGACTAGTTCCTACACCTGAACCATAGCGAGCGTACCGCTCGAACCAGCGTCGTCATTATGGCTGTACGTTGCCCTAAGAGCTTGTTCATCGGACTAATCTCTTATAAATGTTTTATTGATAATGTTATAAGTACATCTTAATCATGTTATATTTCATTATCTGCTAAAACTTGAAAATGGGACAATACTTTTATTAAACTCTGTCCACTTTATCAATATTTATGTGACAAATCTGTGAGCATGATGTCATATTACACCCAAACATGGGCATATTGCATTTATTTGTTACAACATAAAATTAGATAGTGTGAACTCAAAGCTTTAGGGGAAAAAAACTGGGTAGAACTACCTGAAAACTGTGATTAACTGCAAGTGTTGTCTCCAGTAATGCCTTATCTTTCCAAAATGATAAATTATCTGTCGTATCTAGGTTCATTCGCTTTGCTACTGTCTTAAAAGAAAAAGAAATACGATTAGAGAAAACGTCAAAACTTCCAGCTGCTGTTAGTAGGCCAACTGAACAGTTGAAAATGTCATTAATTGGAGCTGTACAAGTACCTCTAACATGTTGTATCGCTGTGTATCACAGAAGTCACGTGTACCAATCTCGGTTACCATGTACCATCCGTTGAATGGTGCCGCAGGAAACTGCAGTCCCCCACATTCAAACAACATGTCTGAAACTGCTGGAACAGCATACCATTTTAGGCCAAGCTCACTGAACCAATCAAAGCTGGAGGTAAATTTACAACTTAACATAAAATGATAATAATAATTTGACATACAGTAACGCATATTGTAATAAACTGCTTCTCATGTCAAGTTTAAACTCAGTCTATTTTGCTGAAAGCAGACTATATTCTCTTTCATGTGGAGATTATTTAATGTTGTGATTTAGTAAATACAGTATATCATTTTAAGACTACATATACTACAGATACAGTAAATACACTACAAAGTATCACATTCAGTTGTAAATAAGAAAATAGCTTACGTCGGATGGGATATTGGTACTTGAAGAGCCAAATCCGAAGGTATTTCAAAAAGTTCTGGATCATTCCCATTTGCTGAGAGCACAAGTGGAAGAACGTCAAACATCCCCCTCTTTCCCTTCCATCCAAGTGATTGGCAAATCTAAAGATTCAGGTAGAATTGATCACACAGGACATTATACTCACTAAACTTTCATCTACGACCAAAACTAGAACGTTAGAAGGCATCCTTGTATCTTTTGTGTAATTAGCATGAATATTGTATAATAATAATAATAATAATAATAATAATAATAATAATAATAATAATAATAATAATAATAATAATAATAATAATAATAATAATAATAATAATAAATTGGGGTGGGCTAGCTTTAATCACAGTATCCTAATACTAATAGTTTTTTTTTTCAAGAAATTGGGTTTGATGATAATTGTTTCATATCTAATAGTAATTTATTTCAAGTTGGTGGTGGGTGTGCATTATATTAATAGTTGCGTATGGGAAGCGCGAGGCCCACGCCCCTCCATATATTACTCGCGCTCCCCCAGTCGCCCCCCAAAAAATCACTTGCAAGTAGTTAAAAAGAACCTAAAATCACTTTATTTTGCGAGTTAGCGCCCCTCAATTGATCATCGAGACCCCCCCCCCCCCCCCCGCCCTTCCCCTCCCCCACCCATCAGCACTCCGTTTCAAGACTTAAAGATACGCCAATGTATATTAATAGGGACTTTCGATTGCACGACAAATGCAGGATCTACCTGCGCATGCGAGAATGCCGAGTTCTCGTCGTCCGGATTCTAGGTCGTAGTTTCGCCCGAATCTACGTTTTGCAGCGAACGTAGAATGGTAACGGATGAGTGAATATGTCCTAGGTTTATGTCATTGCGCAAATCGACAGTTCTCTATTATTAAAAAAAAAAAAAAAAAAACCCAAAACAAAAACAATGAGGATCAGGGTTTTCCATTTTTAGTAGGCATTGTCGGATGATGCGTGCTTAAAATGAATTGACCTTTTCGAAGTTTTTCTAGCCATGGAGGAATTAATTTATAAAATTTATCCATGGCTAGCACACTTACAATCTGATCAATCAGAACAGGGCCAAGGATAGGTCCCCAAAACAAGATTAAATACGATTATGTCGTTTTATTTATTATCCAAGAAAGGGGTGAAAGAGTCATTGTGAGAATCAACGTTATTGTAAGTAGGTAGGTATACAAAACATACTTACTTTTGTAAACTCAACATTTGCCGGGTCTCCAATGACCGCGCCCTCTTCTGTACTATATCCCGCGTACCTTATTAACTGTGAGTTCCACACACGGAAGTCGCTTTGTCCTTTACGTCTTGCCGGAAATACTGTCATAGCAGACCTAACCAAAAAAACAAAAAAAAAAAACAAAAAAAAACCCAACAGATTGGTAATAATTATTGAACCACTTGAAAAGTATAGGTATATCTTAAGCTCCATGCCCAGAATTTATCAATCTCAGCTTAGCAAATATCTTAATAAGTCAAAAAAGTTAAGATGTCCCTAAGCAAATATCCTAAGCTGATTTATTAAATCTTGCGCATGCGTACAATCGACTTTTCAATATCAAGCAATGTTGCCTAGTACTGTAAACGAAGAATTCGTCGAGGAAAAGGTAATCTCCTATGAGATATAGTCTGTATTTCTCATTTTTTAAATTCTTTTGCGTAAAACTAAAATTTATGCCAATATTTTTCCATTGTTTATAATAATTAGAGTAATGCATATGCATTTTTTATTAAAAAAAATTTTTTTTTTGGTGAAATTATGTCGGGAATGGGGCTTCAAGCAAAAAATGGACTTAAGACGAATTTAAGCTGATTTCTAGTTTGATAAATTCGGACAGATGTTCTTACAACAGAAGAGTCAATCGCTTTACCATTATAACATTATCCAAACTACAAACGTAGACCTACATAATTCACTCACCGAATCTGTCCATTATTTGCTGCGAATTTCAAATGCTTGCAAATGGCCTCGAACATCTCTGTAGTAGAGGAAATATCACGTCTGTCAAAGACTTCCAGAGTGTTCCACTGCTGCCTTCCAATACATCTGGCTGCATTTCTCCAGGCTGACTTAGCGCCGAATACAAGCTCATCATGTGATAAATCATACCAACCAATATTCGAAATAGACTCCTCGATGCATTTTACTCGTTGTAGATGCTCGTTTGTGCCATTTCTGCGAAAATACCGATATATATTTTTCTTTGAAAAGTTTCAATATGTTTTTGTTATTGAATTGAATTCATTTAAAAAATTGAAAATTATGTTAAATCCCCATTCCCGAAAAAAATTGACAAAAAAAGATTTTAAAAAAAATGCATTAGAAAAAAATATTGGCATAGAACTAAATTTTAGTTTTACGCAAAAAAAATTCTTCGTTACTAGGCAAATTCAGAGGTTATAGATGGCATCAAAGAACTTAAATAGCAGAAAAATTAGCTGTTCCGCGTATTTGCATTAAAATTGATGGAACATCCACCTTCCCACGAATGGGGTAAAATTTGAATATTTTACTAAGTGCAGGAAACAAGCCAACCAGAGCGGCGCCTTTATTATTACTATATAGCGCCGCCGCGCGGATGGGGTAAAATTGCTCTCCGTGTACCCACAATGCATTTGGAACGGATGTTCCACTTTATTGGGAAGCTGCTCTATCTTCTGCTATTTATTATCTTTGATGGCATCCGTTGGAATACTCTCGCTTTTATGATACTGTACTTTATACAGTCAATAAAGTGCGCCCTTTCTAATTAGTTTTTGTACTTCGCATCTCGCACGCTGCGGTCGATCGAGCAGGCAGGCCTGAGATATGTTTGTTTAATTGTCAAAATCTCGATCAAAATAATTTTTTCAACAGATTTGAAATAATTACAATGAAATATTATATTTCACAAGTGTCAATAATACCAACGGAAAATATTAATTCCGTCGTTTTATGTGTGATTAATAGAACCTAAACCGTAAGGCCTAGTCTAGCAGTGTTGGATAGGGTAATGTTTCTGGCGCCTACTATATTTCTTCGCAGACTTAAAATCAAACATAAAAAAATTCATCAGCATTTATTTTTTGTGTGGAACACACACACACAAAATTTAAACTTCAGTCTTATTTTACATTTTTTCATGTTTAAGAATGTCTAAATTCAGTTAAACTAGCAATTTCGTATTTTATTTATAAATATTTTTAACATTATATAAAAATCAGATTTTTCTAAAAAACTGAAATTTTGCCGGGAATGGGGCTTTAAATACAATTTAAAAAATAACTGAATTGGAAAGTATTATTTAAAGGTTTGCATGGCGGATAAACAACTAGTCTACGTAAGTATCGGTGTATCGCAAAATTATACTATAAATTGGAAGCCTATTTTTAGCTTTCTCGGGTAATAAAAAATCTAAAATAGCAATGATAATTAACATCATTTTATTGGAGATGTATATTATTGCTTGGGACAAGACAAATTATAGGCCTATATTCAGTAGTATAACGAGGCATGAGGTCCCTGATTAAAACTTCTTTGGGCCCTACTCCTGGGGGTGGGGCTGGCATAGACGCAACTTCAAGGGAATGTGCAGAGGAGACAACGAAAATGTATTTCTAGAGTATCTTAAAGATTAACCACATTTAAATATAAAGTGTTTGTTTTTATCTACTTTCTTTTAAGCTTAAGCGAAATTCAGCATAAACCTTTGTAGTAGCTCAAAATGACTTTGTATGACTTTTCTCAATTAACCTTCCGCTAAGCCTGCTCCTTAGTATTAAAATACAAAATGAATAGGTAACCTAAATTTAAAATAGACACAACCATACAAATAGCGTAAATATACATAAACACGTGCGTTTGTGAGACAACACCTGTTTTTGTAGGACAGACGTGTATTCCTGGTCCATTATACAGCAGATATCTTTAAAAGATGGGTAGGCCTACACGATTGCCAACTCCTAAAGGGAAGATGCTACTGGACCTGACAAAGTAAAAGTAGGAATAGAGCACCATTGTAACACTTACAGACCGATATGCTGGAAGTAGAGGTCAATAAATTCAATTGCGCTTCGGAGGATATCTGGCGTTGTATTTTGTCCAATAAACTGACCAGGTACACTCATCAAGGCGCCTATACAATACTGCAAAATGTAAAGGAATAGTACATATATTATATAAACATTCAAAACGTAATTTTAAAGTTTATGTTATGAATGTGTCTAAAAAAAATCTCCAATTTAAATTACCATTACATGATAATCTTATGGTTAAAATCTTATGGTTAAAACATTTGACTTAAAGCTTAATTAAAAGTAAAGTAATGGATGTGAGTAATAAAATAGGATATTTGGTCTAGGACACACTCTTTGGTTTGTCCTCGTGTTGATAATTTTAAAAGGAAATTCAGTTCCTACTGCTATGTTTTTAAAATTATTTGATTGAATAAAATATAACATTTACAATTTTCCGAAGAGTGTATACGTATGTTGAAACGAAATTGGTTTATGAAAAATCTTTGAAGAAATTTCTTTTTAGTTAGTTTTGTAATTAAATAATGTAAAACCACCGTCCTGAGGCCACGTTTCAATCAGCGTCCTCATTATTATATTGTTACTCACCTGTTTACATGTTAAATGCAGCGTGTCTCGGCAACGACTATTCGTGATATAGTTTTGAAGAGGGGTGTGCTCGTTTTTTGTTCTGTGATAGCATTTGGAACCGTCATTCA